AGGGTGTGAGTTATAGACTGATAGGTTGGGTGAGTTATAGGTATGCATGGGGGTGAGTCATAGACTGATAGGTTAGGTGAGTTATAGGTATGCATGGAGGTGAGTTATAGGCTGATAGGTTGGGTGAGTTATAGGCTGATAGGTTGGGTGAGTTATAGGTATGCATGGAGGTGAGTTATAGACTGATAGGTTGGTGAGTTATAGGTATGCATGGAGGTGAGTTATAGACTGATAGGTTGGGTGAGTTATAGGCTGATGGTTGGGTGAGTTATAGGTATGCATGGAGGTGAGTTATAGACTGATAGGTTGGGTGAGTTATAGACTGATAGGTTGGGTGAGTTATAGACTGATAGGTTGGGTGAGTTATAGACTGATAGGTTGGGTGAGTTATAGACTGATAGGTTGGGTGAGTTATAGGTATGCATGGGGGTGAGTTATAGACTGATAGGTTGGGTTAGTTATAGGCTGATAGGTTGGGTGAGTTATAGACTGATAGGTTGGGTGAGTTATAGGCTGATAGGTTGGGTGAGTTATAGGCTGATAGGTTGGGTGAATTATAGGCCAGCATGAAGGGTGTGAGTTATAGACTGATAGGTTAGGTGAGTTATAGGCTGATAGGTTGGGTGAATTATAGGCCAGCATGAAGGGTGTGAGTTATAGACTAATAGGTTGGGTGAGTTATAGGTATGCATGGGGGTGAGTTATAGACTGATAGGTTAGGTGAGTTATAGGTATGCATGGAGGTGTGTTATAGGCTGATAGGTTGGATGAGTTATAGGCTGATAGGTTGGGTGAGTTATAGGTATGCATGGAGGTGAGTTATAGACTGATAGGTTGGTGAGTTATAGGTATACATGGAGATGAGTTTTAGGCTGATAGGTTGGGTGAGTTATAGGCTGATAGGTTGGGTGAGTTATAGGTATGCAGGGAGGTGAGTTATAGGCCAGCAGATGGGTTGAGTTATATGCCAGCAGGTTGGTTGTGTTATAGGTATGCAGGGAGGTGAGTTATAGGCCAGCAGATGGGTTGAGTTAAAGGCCAGCAGGTGGGTTGAGTTATAGGCCAGCAGATTGGTTGTGTTATATGTATGCAGGGAGGTGAGTTATAGGCCAGCAGGTGGGTTGAGTTATATGCCAGCAGGTTGGTTGTGTTATAGGTATGCAGGGAGGTGAGTTATAGGCCAGCAGATGGGTTGAGTTATAGGCCAGCAGGTGGGTTGTGTTATAGGCCAGTTGGTGGGTTGAGTTATAGGCTGACAGGTGGGTTGAGTTATAGGCTGACAGATAGAGTAAGTTATAGGCTGAAAGGTAGGTTTAGTTATAGGCTGACAGCTAGAGTAAGTTATAGGCTGACAGGTAGGTTGAGTAATAGGCTGACAGGTGGGTTGAGTTATAGGTTGACAGGTGGGTTGAGTTATAGGCTGACAGGTAGGTTGAGTTTTAAGCTGACAGGTGGGTGGAGTTATAGGCTGACAGTTGGCTGGAGTTACAAGCTGACAGATAGGTTGAGTTACAGGCTGACAGATAGGTTGAGTTATAGGCTGACAGGTGGGTGGAGTTAGGTTTTTGCTCATATGGGAATGTTAGGTTTGTGCTCATATGGGAATGTTAGGTTTGTGCTCATATGGGAATGTTAGGTTTGTGCTCATATGGGAATGTTAGATTTGTGCTCATATGGGAATGTTGGGTTGTGCTCATATGGGAATGTTAGGTTTGTGCTCATATGGGAATGTTAGGTTTGTGCTCATATGGTAAGGTCAGGTTTGTGCTTATATGGGAATGTTAGGTTTGTGCTCATATGGTAAGGTCAGGTTTGTGCTTATATGGGAATGTTAGGTTTGTGCTCATATGGGAATGTTAGGTTTGTGCTCATATAAGAATGTTAGGTTTGTGCTCATATGGGAATGTTAGGTTTCTGCTCATATGGGAATGTTAGGTTTGTGCTCTTATGGGAATGTTAGGTTTGTGCTCATGTGGGATGGTTAAGTTTGTGCTCATATGGGAATGTTAATTTTGTGCTCATATGGGATGGTTAAGTGTGTGCTCATATGGGAATGTTAAGTTTGTGCTCATATGGGATGGTTAAGTTTGTGCTCATATGGGATGGTTAGGTTTGTGCTTATATGGTAAAAGTACTCCTAGACGCTAAGTCTTTTTTGCCTTCATGTCTATTGTCATGTATGAAATGTTATTTTCTTGTAAAGAATTATTTCCCAACGTTGGCGTATGAGTTTGGGGGGGGGGTGTTAGTGGTTGGTGTTTTTACGTTTCAAGAGGAGGTCAGCGGAAGGCAAAGAGGCCTCAAATTTACACGTGGACTTGTTCGTAAATTAACTCACGTTACGTAACGCAACTTGACGGTCCTTACATAGCATAGCTGCCATCAAAACCAGCCAATCATTGACGGAGCTCGCTGCCACTAACTAGAACCTTGATGGGAGACACCCAAAAAAGCCGGGTGCAGCATCTTAGTGGCAGATATATCTTCCCTCCCTGACGACCGAATATGAAATATAAATTTTGTTAAATGGTTAAGAAGCTTCAAACATTGTTGGAAAAAGAAAATGGAGGAGCAATGCTTTAAGTATTGATGTATAACTAGCTATAGCCGCCAAACAATGGCAGCCTCAATGCGTGAACTTCCCATCTACTAAAGTTGACGGTACTTGACAAAACATGCATCCATGTTCCCCACTTTATAAGATTCCCAATTAGTGCTACCCCCTACCCCCCGTACGCCATCGCCTCTGAATTAAATTAATATTCTAATGCCCCACCCTTTTTACACCGCAAATGTCAGATTTATAACATCATTTTTGGGTTTTTTTTAAATTTTAAAATTGAAACAAAATCAAAAGAACATATTACGCACTTGGTGTATCTTTTTAAGAATCTTATTTAGCGGAGTAATCGGGAATTTTATTTAGCGAAATCTGCGCCATTTGGTAGCGTTAGTGACATGGTTACCTAGAGAATTATGTATGTTGATGATCCAATAATTGATTTAACTTTGACACTCTTTGCTCTTTTTAAACATCTGAACTACTATATGGGGGGGGGGGATTGTAGAACAAATTTATAGCAATTAAATGTTAAAATTTGGACAGGTGTAGGCCTATAGATGATTTAGAGCTGATATTGATACATTTCAAGACCATGATGTGGAACATTTTCACTAAGAAGAATTATTCAAATAAATCATGCATTTAGAAAATAAAAATATTTTCGAGCGAATAAAAGACAAGCAGCCGAAACACCACTTGTTATTTTGAATTTCAGCGCATGTAGACTATGGTGACCGAAAGTCCCGTAAAAACGGGATTGTTCCGTTTTTCATGATCGTACTCGGTGTCCCGAAAAAGTCTCTCGGGACGCCTAAATGTCCTGTTTCTAAAACCAAACACATTTTCAAATCACTAGATCCTCCTAATTTATAATATAACTTCAAGTAATATTTTTGCTAGCTGTGTAGCCAGTGCCAGTAGTGATGTGGGCTATAGCGTGATGGCTTCATGTAATGTGTTGTGTTGTGTTGTATGATGTTGTAAAATATGTATCAATAAATAAGTATTCGCTGCGAAATTCTTGCTTTCGTTTATGCTATTGCTCAGATTACTAAATTACAAAAGTGAAGGTAAATGTAAAAAGATGTCTAGGTCTCAAAATGGTTCAAATGAGCAGATTTCAATAAACAGTTTCCGGCGGATGCCCCCGGACCCCTCTTTAGCTGGAGGGTATCATCCCCCCCCCCCAACAACCCTCCTTGGGTGTGTCCCGTTTTTTCCAGTTCATGATTTGGTCACCGAATAGTTTGAGAACCACTAATACAAAATAAAAGCAGAATCCACATCTCCACGTGTGGTCGTCGTGTGTATGAACGACCATTTAATCATAACATTGTGTGTGTCTGTGTGTGTGCAAAGATGATAAATACCAACTCTTTTCACACCTGTTTTTGGGCGCTCGCTTAAAAGGAATACTCTGCATTAAAACGAAACTAGCAATGATGAAATCTTCCTATTGTTGAGAGAGCCGCTTAATTGGGATGAAATCATCTCGTCCCTAAATGGTGTGGTGGCGCAAACAGCAGATTGGCAGAGGGCACTTTTGATAGGGAAGGGCAATAACTCAGAGAAACTGTTTTATTAGCAGTCCCCAGTTGGAGCTGTGCAGGAAGTGGGCAATAACTCTGTCGTTAGGCAACGGTAATAAACAGGAGGATTTAAATGACTTGGCTGTTCACGGTATGACATCATTCATTGGCTGCACTCAGGTACAAGACCTGTCTACTTACTCATCTATGGGCCTACTATAGCTAGGTCGTTTATAATAGTTCTGTCTGCCACAGCTTGTCAACTTATGTATGTATAAGGATAGTCCTTCTATAGCTAGGTTTTCAATGGACAATTCTGTTTTTAAATTGTCACAGCTTGTCAACTTACATATCTCTACTAAATCTGGGTCTTGTATGGACAGTCCTATCCACGGGTTGTTAACATGCTATAGCTTTCAATAGGTAAACGGTGGCTTTCAATAGGTGAATGGTGGCTTTCAATAGGTAAAGGGTGGCTTTCAATAGGTAAATGGTGGTTTTCTATAGGTAAATGGTGGCTTTCTATATGTAAATGGTGGCTTTCAATAGGTAAACGGTGGCTTTCAATAGGTAAATGGTGGCTTTCAATAGGTAAATGGTGGCTTTCAATAGGTAAATGCTGGCTTTCAATATGTAAATGGTGGCTTTCAAAAGGTAAATGGTGGCTTTCAATAGGTAAATGGTGGCTTTCAATAGATAAAGGGTGGCTTTCAATAGGTAAATGGTGGCTTTCAATAGGTAAATGGTGGCTTTCAATAGGTAAATGGTAGCTTTCAATAGGTAAATGGTGGCTTTCAATAGGTAAATACAACATATTTTAAAGACACAGATGGATTACCTTTTTTTAATATATTTTTCAAATGGTAGATAAAGGAATGTTATTCTTTTAATGCAAAAAAGAAAAGCTACAAGACATGAACAACAATCTGTTATTTGATTAGTTAATATTATAAAAGAAAGAAATGACATGGGACAACAATTACTGGTAATAACACAATTTGTTCCGCTCTCACAATAAATTTTAACAAACAATAGGTTTTATTATTTTTACATCCATCACTATTGTGTGGAACGAAACAAAACAATTACCTGGGTGGTAAGAAAAATGGAACATTAAGTGAATATTGCACAAAGATATAACAAAAATAGCACTCACAATTTTTAGAATTTCTTTTCAAATAACAATTGATTCCAGCAAAGCAATGTCTAAACATGACTAGCGCTGCCTAGACTTGTCTAGCTATGTCTAAACACACCTCTCGATGTCTAAACACGTCTAGCATTGTCTATACAAGTATAACAACATTGAAGTATTTCTTTTTTTAGCCTCCCCGGATGCCAGGGATGTGAAAGAGTGGACCATATAATAGCCTAGCATAAGAGACATAAGTTCTGTATATGCTTGAACAAACCTTGGTTCCAAGTAGTCAGGATAAATTCTATGAACTTTCAAGACAGTTGCTACAGGATAGATACACTTCAACTTAATAAAGGACCAGGGGGGGATAAGGTGAAAATATAACAGCATGCTGTGTGTGTGTGGATATTTGTAGATTTTGCCATGACCTATGACCTCCTAACGGTAGCAGTAAACAAAACAATTTATAAAAAATTAATTTGTTCTAATGGATCTCAGCCAGTGACTGGACATTATGGGCAGTCTAGTGTCCAGTCTTACAACAACAATAGCTACGGACAAGTACTACCTACAAGTGAATGTCAATATTTTGAATTATTTATTTTTTTCGGCAGATGATGTGAAACGATAATAAGGGACATTGATGAATAACTTTACGGTAGTGAGATGACGTCAATTTATTTAAATAATAATCAATAAATTAATACAAAGGAGGTCACAGTAAACAAAAAAATGTTTAAATCAAATACATATAATAATTTAAATTCAATTTACAAAGAATTGGTAGAAAGAAAAAACAAATCACAAAATTACAATAAAACAACGTGGTAAATTTGTGATAAAAGCTCAGTCGATTCTAACAATTTAAAATAACGGAAATGAGTATTGAATTCAATAATTTTGTTTCCAAGATTCTATTTCTACCACTCTTGTGTTCTATATGTACCACTCTTGTGTTCTATATGTACCACTCTTGTGTTCTACCTGTACCACTCTTGTGTTCTATATGTACCACTCTTGTGCTCTATATGTACCACTCTTGTGTTCTATATGTACCACTCTTGTGTTCTACCTGTACCACTCTTGTGTTCTATATGTACCACTCTTGTGTTTGATATGTACCACTCTTGTGCTCTATATGTACCACTCTTGTTTTTGATATGTACCACTCTTGTGCTCTATATGTACCACTCTTGTGTTCTACATGTACCACTCTTGTGTTCTACATGTACCACTCTTGTGTTCTATGTGTACCACTCTTGTGTTCTGTGTACCACTCTTGTGTTCTATGTGTACCACTCTTGTGTTCTGTGTACCACTCTTGTGTTCTACATGTACCACTCTTGTGTTCTATGTGTACCACTCTTGTGTTCTGTGTACCACTCTTGTGTTCTATGTGTACTACCAATGTGTGACTCAAGCTTCAGCTCACTGAGCTATTTGTATATTTTATTCCTCAATATCTTCTCATGGGCACATGAAATGTTGATAATTTATGTCATTACAGATTTATATTCAATAAATACTTTCAAGGGTGTATTCATGATATAGTTTTTATTAACAATTCTAAATACCCATTGGAGAGGAATTAAATATTTGATGTAAATAAGGTATTCAACTGATTTTAAAATTGCAACATTGAACCCCAAACATTTAGAAGAAAGAAATAACTCCTCTGACAGGTGGCACGGTAAACAGTCAACACACCTATGGTCAATGGACAGGTGGCACGGTAAACAGTCAACACACCTATGGTCAATGGACAGGTGGCATGGTAAACAGTCAACACACCTATGGTCAATGAACAGGTGGCACGGTAAACAGTCAACACACATATGGTCAATGGACAGGTGGCACGGTAAACAGTCAACACACCTATGGTCAATGGACAGGTGGCACAGTAAACAGTCAACACACCTATGGTCAATGGACAGGTGGCACGGTAAACCATCAACACACCTATGGTCAATGGACAGGTGGCACAGTAAACAGTCAACACACCTATGGTAAATGGACAGGTGGCACGGTAAACCATCAACACACCTATGGTCAATGGACAGGTGGCACGGTAAACAGTCAACACACCTATGGTCAATGGACAGGTGGCACAGTAAACAGTCAACACACATATGGTCAATATAAAATTCCCATTCAACATCAGAATTTGGAATCACTTTATCACTAACCCATATTTTAGTACATAAGTATAAGTAGTGTACAACACTTTGGAGTGGGATTTAAGTGAGTAGAACAGACATACACTACCATAGATTGCTAACATGCACTACCATAGATTGCTAACATACACAACCATAGACTGCTAACATACACAACCATAGATTGCTAACATACAAAACCATAGATTGCTAACATTCACTGACATTGATTGGTGGCATAAAATGACACAGATTGCTGACATACACTGACATAGATTGCTGACATACAACATACACTGACACAGATTGCTGACATACACTGACACAGATTGCTGACATACACTGACATAGATTGCTGACATACACTACCATAGATTGCTGACATACACTGACACAAATTGCTGACATACACTGACACAGATTGCTGACATACACTGACACAGATTGCTGACATACACTGACACAGATTGCTGACATACACTGACATAATTGCCGACAGTTTATCTTTACTTGCCAATGACAATTCTAAAGCCAAAAATCCCCTACTAAAACGGATGTAAAAAATTTCCTCCACTAGATGCTATTATTATTTATCTGATTGTGGCCAGCAGTGAGCAGCTCGAGGGTGTGCATAGATTAGATCACATTATTATTTCAGTCTTGTTGATATCTTGGCCGTGCGGTAATCAGCTCGCAGTTGGACAAAACTCTGAATGACAGATTCATCCAGATCAGCCTGGGAAGGGCAAGGAAAAATTAAAATTGTTGAAAGGATTTTGTTTCTTTTTGTTAATTTACTAACAGTTAACCTTTTTGTTACCGATGACATCGACGTGACTTCATGATCCCAAGGACGTGACATTGTTGTCATAACAAAGATAGAAAGAACTTTTCTGAAATACCAAGGACGTCACGTCGACGTCATATTTCAATGCCATATATTTCTTTATTCGTTTATATATAGAGAAGTTAGTAAGCGAATCGGATAGAGAATGAAATAATACCGGAAGTTTCATCTTTAAGTTTTTTAATTTGCCGAGTCACCAAAAATCTATGCCGAAACAAGTGGTAATTAAAGGGTTAAGTTTTCCCCTTGATACATTAAAACTACTAAAGCCTGGATATTGAACAGCTTAATTATGGGGAAATCGCTAAATATATATTTTTTACTAATATATATATATATATATATATATCAGATAAGCTAAGATTATTTTAAGATTATTTTATTGATCCTAATAAATGGAAATGTTTTTTGATTAATTATAATATTTTCCTTTCATCACATAATTAAATAAGTATTTTTAACCAAGGAAACATTTTACAATTATAAGAATTTAAACACAAAGACATTTAAAGTATTTCTCAGGCGTAAAAATCAGCAATGAGAGAAATCCCTTAGAGACATTGATGACTTAATTAATGGCTAATGTTTTGTAGTTATTTCTTTCAGAATTGAAACATCTTAAAATTCATTTTCACAATATTTTGGTTTATGTTATATATACATCTTGTTGCAGCACATGCATTTTTCTTCTTTTCTCATATTGAAATAATAGATAAGTTCATTATACGTGAGAAGTTTATTTATAAATCACCTCAAACCCATACGTCACTAATGGGAATGAAAACAAGGAATGGACAGACTACTCACCAGTTGCTCTCCACTGCACACTGTCTTGATATTCTCTGGGACCACAACAAGCAGGTTACACAGTGCGTGGAGATGTTCAAAAAGCTGGGTCACCAATGGAATCTTCATTTCTTCTTTGACCACTTTACGATATTCATTGACATCACAGATGACTAACATTGCACCTGGAAATAACGTTATTAACATCACAGATAACTGAAATGGTATCTGGAAATCATGTCATTAAATTGAAGTGGCATGATGGTTTTTTTTGCCTTTACGATAAAAATATTTTTCACTATACCCAATCATAAATGATATATTTTTTACAATTTTATCTTCATTACCACATTAACGGGTTTCTTAAAATGTATTTTAACTGATGTATAATAGCATAGTACCATATGGAACTGATGTATGATGGCATAGCACCATATGGAACTGATGTATGATGGTATGGCACCGTATGGAACTGATGTATGATGGCATAGTACCATATGGAACTGATGTATGATGGCATAGCACCAAATGGAACTGATGTATGATGGCATAGTACCATATGGAACTGATGTATGATGGCATAGTACCATATGGAACTCATGTATGATGGCATAGTACCATATGGAACTCATGTATGATGGCATAGCACCATATGGCACTCATGTATGATGGCATAGTACTAGTACCATATGGAACATAAAATTTTCTCATAACAATCACTTGTAGAGAGATTAGTTCTTGGTTTTGTTTGTTGTTATACAATGACCAGAGGTCATCCAAGATAAAATACATATAAATTGACCATAGATTTGTGTGCGTGTCTATTTCGGTATAGAGACTGACGGAATGAGATTTTCTGATTCGACCAAACTCGTTTGCGCATACATTCTGCATATGTTAAAAAATGGTGGGGGAAAATATTGTTATTTATATAATTTTTATTTCAAAAATGAGATTACTTTAATAGATAAAAATCTAATGAATATTTTGGCTTTTACCAATTTGCATTAAGAAGTAATTAAAGTTGTTAAAAAAATGTATTTTAAAATTTAAAGTAAAATGGTAAGAGAAAATTTTGAGGGGGGGGTGCAAAATTCATGAAAGAGAGACCCTTGGGTGCTCTTTGTTTTTTATAATATAATTACAACGCTACCTAAACATATTTATTGGAATCAATGGAATGCTTATCCGATTTATGGTTTATTAGTATGGCCCACTAAAGTGTCCAGACATAAGCCTTGAATGAACTCTTTGTTCTGCTAACCCATATATTTTTATTAAAACTAGTATTCTTATAGGTTGACATTTAAATTTTTCATTTATCTGCAATCATCATTTATTGGCTAATTTTTTATTTGACAAAGATTAAATAACAGTTGAACAAATGTTGACCTATGTTTAGTATGATAATATATTAGGTCTACGACATAATTATTAAATCAAGCAGTGATACATGCACACATGTGTTTACCCTTATGATTTAAATTAAAGGCTATTTTATGCCTAATTATACAAAATTGAAATAAATAATCATTTTTTTAAATATTACTGAAAGTTTCATTATTCTTTTTCTTTATATTTGTGCCCATATACGTGACTAATTTTGAGAAATATTTTAACATTTTATTTCATCAATGACAATGTTTATCAGCATGCTAATGATGAATTTCAATAAATGAATGAACTAAATCATCCTAAGGTTCCCTAATTTTTATTTTTTTTAAAATGTAAAACAAAAATAATAATTAAAATGTTACCATTCCCTAGGATTTTTTGTTACACTACTAATTACCTTTGGCGATGATAACACTTATGGGCATGATAATGATAAAAATGTATGTCACAAGTGTATGAATTGAATAATCCTAGAGTTCCACAATTTTATTTTTGAAAATATTAAAATAATAATATAAATATTCCCATTCAGTTAGTTTCTTTTTCCACAAAACTATTTACCTTTGCCTAAGCCTAATTGAAATTTTAATTTTGGAAAAATTGGACAAGTAGATCATCTTGCAGCTGTGAGCAGAGCATTAGTCATGATATCAAGACCTTGAGCAATAATGAATATCAGACTGAGTGACAGTCTGACTTCTGCTCCATTGCCAATAGCCTCAATAACTTTCGGGCAAAAATAAACTGAAGCTACGCTGAAAGTGATCAAATGGCAACTTTCATCACCGAAACCAAAAGCAAAATTCGGCCTGACTCTATTACAGTACTTATAACAGTTACTGTACTGACTGAGGTGTATATTTTTATGACAATGGGTACTATAATTATTGAGTTGCATGAAATGTATTGATTACAATTTTTTACTATTAGCTACTGTGTTTTATACAACAGTCATCATACCGATAGAGTTGTACGAAAATTGGATCAAGTGATCAAAGGTCAGACGGTGAAAACGCTGCCCTAGAGTTATGAGAACAGCATCGACATTCTTGCCGTCCAGGCTGTTCTTGATTTCCTTGACCTGGGCTAGCAAAAACTTGGACACATTGATGGCGGCCTGAAATTGAAAGATACGATCATGGGATGTTATTTATGGCGGCCTGAAATTCCATACATTATTGACAATTTTTTACTTCAAACTTTTTTACAGCATAAGGAAAGCTGTAGAACTATAGACTGTGAAGTTAATATTCGGCCAATATTTTGTTTAATAGCAGAGACAGAGAAAAAAGTTAATGGTATTTATTGTCTTATTTTTGCCAACAAACTCCTCAAGGAATAACTTAATTTGATCTCAGCTGAACCAAGGTAGACAGCTGAACCAAGGCAGATAACTCAACCAAGGCAGACAGCTGGACAAAGGCAGACAGCTGGAAAAAGGCAGACAGCTGAACCAAGGCAGACAACTGAACCAAGGCAGACAGCTGAACCAAGTATAAAATGGGGTGTCCAGGTTAAAGCAACATAAAAACATAATTCACAGAGTAATGGGAACTAACAGCACAAAGCGACGTTTAAGGTGAAAGTCTTCATTACCAACAAATTAAACAGAGAACAGAGTAATGTGATGGAAATAACAAGAAATTTGTATGGCAATAACATCTTACAGGAGACGACAATAAATTTAATGGTGCGTCTTCTGATTCAGGTTTGAAGTCTGTTTTTTTCTGTTCATTGTTGAAAATGTGTCGGATCCAGCCAATTATTGCATTAATCGATCGGTCAAGGCCCGTGTCGATCTTGGCCTCCATCGCCTCCCTAAGATTTCTTTTCTTTTTAACACAAGCCCCATGAAACGGGGATGACCTGCAGAGAAAATCAACACGATGATGATACCCAGGGCAAGTTAAAGTTAAATGATATCCAAGAATGATTTCATGAACAGATTCAAATATGTAACGGATGCATACAGCTCCCAGCCCTCATTACAAGAAAATGTTTAGGAGAAATACTCAATGACATCACTGGACTTACAAGAGAATATGGAATAAGGAAAACAGATTCACACCCATGGAAATAACATATGTAATGATTCACGTCACTGGAATCACATGAGGCTATAGACTTACATGACTAATGGAATAAAACTGTCAGTGAACTGTTTCTCAAAGAGATGAAAGAGGGTGTTTGCTTGGCTGACCACATCAAAGAAGTAGATCTCTGGCTCCACTTTTGGCTCAGCGGGGGGGATACCTGAATGCAGACATCAGAACAGTTTAAGTCAGAACTTAAATGTTAAAGTTGTTTGAAAAACATGAGACATGTCGCACATTATTAATATTACTGTAGAAAAGTGCATTACAAAAATAATTTTTGTTTGACATTACACAACTTTAAACCAACATAACACACACACACACACAAAAACATTTTTTGTTATTTGAACATTCTTAATTTGAACATTCTTAATTTTATGACGTGTTATAAGGTTATCATTTATTTCTTAACTATATAAGTTTAATCAGTTACATTTTTCTTTTTCATTAAATATTATTATTGAAGCGTTTCCTGAATGACATGATTCTTTTCCTAAAAGTAATCTAAGCAATAATCTAATCATTTCGTCATTATATAATCATGATTTTCCATGCCAATTACCTATCAAGCCAATCTCAACGGCGTAGTCAATATGCTCTAAAACCAAGTACTGAATTAGAACATCAAATATTTTCATAGCATTGGAGGCCAACTGTGAAGATGAAGACAGCTGAAATAAAATAGTTTTATTTCTTTTAGGATCAAAGATCAATCAATGAACGATGAACTACACAAACAACAAATCATGAACTACACAAACAACAAATGATGAGCTACACAAACAACAAATCTGAAGAATTCTGAGAATTTTCATTGCATCAATTCATAAATTGCAACCAAACAAATAATATAAATTATTAAAAAGAAAATTAAATGTTCTACTGCATACCATCTGACAGCGCTTAAAAGCATTTTTTGTGTCTTGTAAGATATTGATGGCCACTTCCTGTGACAAGAAAGTCTCTCCTCCGAAGTTTTCTATAGTTGGGCCAGATTTTGTCACCGTTCCCAGTTTTGCCTGGATATCTCTCTTTAATTCGTAAATTCTAAATCAAATAATAAGGAAGTATTTTTGTTTTAAAAGTCTTTTATTTCAAAAGTTTTTAATAATGACAATACAAAATTAAACTGTTTAAGCAATGTTTTAATCATATTAGCATTGATAAGTAGCTTGAAAGACACATATTTTAACAGGCTAGATAACAATAGGACCCTTCCTTCCCGCATTGCATCCTCGTCCCAGAAACACTAGTGCATCTGTTGACCAAATGTCCCTCACTAGATTTTTTGGGAGGGAGGCCAGGGCAGTGGGAGAGCCCTACGCCAGAAGAATGTTATATGGTTCAGTTCAGCAGATGGAGCTGGCAGCCAATGTACTAGCCGGGGTCATAAGAGAGTCATCTCAGCCCTTCACAAGAATGCCGGGGTCATTAAGAGAGTAATCTCAGGCCTTCACAAGAATATGTGTGTTAGTGTTAGTGAGTTAGTAGCTTGACAGAAGTTAAAAGATGTTCTAACAAGTTTTATCACCTCAACAAATACTATTTCACTTATCAGCTCCGAGTAAAATATTCTAAGGATTTTAGTAGCAGAGATTTATGGTTTTTGTGAAAGACTCAGAGATTTATGGTTTATGTGAAAGACCCAGAGATTTATGGTTTATGTGAAAGACCCAGAGATTTATGGTTTTTGTGAAAGACCCAGAGATTTATGGTTTTTGTGAAAGACCCAGAGATTTATGGTTTTTGTGAAAGACCCAGAGATTTATGGTTTTTGTGAAAGACCCAGAGATTTATGGTTTATGTGAAAGACCAATAGATTTATGGTTTATGTGAAAGACCCAGAGATTTATGGTTTATGTGAAAGACCCAGGTGGACTGCAATTTTGAAATAGTGTTAGGACAAAAAATAAGTGTTAGCATTAGCCGCACATGTCCAGTCTAATTTGTCAGCAACCAACTGACTTACCCGCCTGTCTGTATTTGACGTTTTGCGTGGTCTTTCTTTTCATAGTAGTGGTGAAGCACCATGGCACAATGTTCTCGGAGAGACTGCAGCTCCACACTGCAATGTCAGTTTTATAATACAGTACAGGAAAGAGGACAAAACTTGATCAAGTTAAAAAACAATTTTAAAACTGACACAGAAAATGGTTATTCATATTATTGGGAGCAATCATGACTTTTTTAAAAGCCTCTAAACTTAAGAATTGGGATGCCATTGTCATCACAGTAATTTTTTTTTTAAAAGTGACAACCCAGAAACGGAACCCTTCAAAAATGAACCAATCAAAAATAAAGCATTAATTCTCAACCAAATTTTAAAGAGTCTACTGCAGCTAATCCATCCTAAGACCTTGTAAAAGTCTTCTTCACATAAACCTTTATAATACCTTGTAAAAGTATTCTTCACATAAACCTTTATAATAACTTAACCGTCATAAAATGTAAATGCTACTACGACGGCCCTCGCTGGTCTTATTTAAAAAGGGAGCTTATTGCAGACTTACTCGATGTACTTGTCCAAATGTTGTGAGAAGATTGACCTGGTTAGTTTGTTCAGGAATGTCGAGTCGCCCAATTTAAACTCATGCTCTGTGCAAGCTTTGGACAATTCCGCCGTCAGTTTGGATGTTCTGAAACCACGAGGTTCGGAACTTGTTGGTTAGTGTCAGAGATTTAACAACAACAACAACAACAACACACAAAACAAGTTGCATAACCAATTTTAAAAATAGAAAAATACTAAATTACAGCCATCTCTATAATAATGACTGCAACTAGAGTCAATTTAGTCATAACAACTTTATGACTGTCGGTTAACTTCAGCATTACTGCCACTAGAGTCAATGTAGTCACAAAAACTTCATGACTTCATGTGTTAACTTCAGCAGATTCTGGATCCTTTGTGGTGAAAAAATAAAACCCAATAACTGTGATGTGTTCACAACAAGTGTATATTGAAATTCTATATTGCCATCTGGCGGTGACATTGCAAGGGGGTGCCAGCACCCATAGACCTCCCATGGTGCCAGCACCCAAAGACCTCCCATGGTGCCAGCACCCATAGACCTCCCATGGTGCCAGCACCCAAAGACCTCCCATGGTGCCAGCACCCATAGACCTCCCATGGTGCCAACACCCAAAGACCTCCCATGGTGCCAGCACCCAAAGACCTCCCATGGTGCCAGCACCCAAAGACCTCCCATGGTGCCAGCACCCATAGACCTCCCATGGTGCCAGCACCCATAGACCTCCCATGGTGCCAGCACCCATAGACCTCCCATGGTGCCAGCACCCAGAGACCTCCCATGGTGCCAGCGCCCAAAGACCTCCCATGGTGCCAGCACCCATAGACCTCCCATGGTGCCAGCACCCAAAGACCTCCCATGGTGCCAGCACCCAAAGACCTCCCATGGTGCCAACACCCAAAGACCTCCCATGGTGCCAGCACCCAAAGACCTCCCATGGTGCCAGTACCCATACACCTCCCATGGTGCCAGAACCCAATGACCTCCCATAAGTCCACAATTGAAACCATAAACAACAAGAACATTTCGGGTCTGTTAAGATAAGACTTGATACATTTTTTTTACAAAACTTTATTTATTAATAATCTTTTTTAACATTTTTTTTAAATTTTGCCCTCTGAAAATTTAGCCCGGCGGCACCCCATGCTATGCCACTGGCACCCCCATGCTTTCGCACTGGCACCCCCATGCTATTTCACTAGCATCTAGTTATAACTTTTGACAAAACTTTCTTTTTTTATTGTGATAATAAAAACCAGCTTATGATCTCATATCAGTGTGAGTCTATACTCTGTAGTAGAGTATTTATATTTTTAATACTGTGCCAAAGAATAATACTGTTGGCACTAACTGGTAACAATTATTAAGGATCAAACAAAGTTCTCATGTGTATGTATTATTGATTCATTCTAATTAAAAGAGAAAAAAATTGACCTTATGTACAAATCGTAGAGGTTGTTAAGATAAGTTTCTGGATCAGTTTGGTTCTCGAGCCTTGATGCTACATGGCCCTAGGAATATTAAACATCTTATATGAATGGAGAAGTATCAATTCAGTCATACAGAAATTCTTTACATGATGGATACAAGAATTTTGAAATTATTACTTTTCCTGCGAACTAATTCCACATTTCTAAAATTTGTTTCCTCTCTGTTCAATCCTTCCAACATCTTAATACAACATATTTTTTTGACATTAATTCTCCTTTAAATTCCCTCTTAAAAACTTTAAACATTTGTGTCTATTGCCTCAAGCCTTCAAACCCCTAGTGCATGATTTCCTCATCAACACCAGTAACAGAAACATTGCAAATCCCATCTACATGCATAGGAGCCAAAATGATCAATAAATTGATCGTGGGCCCTTAAGATATAGAAGAAGAAGAACAAAATGTTAGCATATGAAGAGCTTAAAACACTATGTCACATTTCTTTATAAATAACATAGTACAGCCCAATGTTAACTTTCCTGTTAACATAGTACAGCCAAATGTTAATTTTCCCATTAACATAGTACAGCCCAATGTTAACTTTCCCAATAACATAGTACAGCCCAATGTTAACTTTCCCAATAACATAGTTCAGCCCAATGTTAACTTTCCCAATAACATAGTACAGCCCAATGTTAACTTTCCCATAGAAATTTTTAAATATTTTATTCAAAAACATGTCTACAAATGCAATGGTTGGCTCTGCAAAATGAAAGGATTAAAGAACTTTTCTTTTCATTCCCCAAAAATGTAAACAGAGGGCCTCTCCTCAGTGTGCATATGCTCCTCTATCATTTTCCATATTTTTTTCCTAACATATAAATCAAATAAGTTGTTAAGTAGGTCTCCCATGACCGCTGTCAAACCTGCACACTCCCTTGAAAGACATTTTGTACAAGTTTGGTCATGACATTGTCAGAGTTGGTGAACACAGCCTTAGCCAACTTGTTGGTCTCCACACACAAGGGGACAATGTCATCAAAAATACTGCTATGCTTGAAAGCGCCCTGCAAGACATTTTAAGAAATAAAATAAGCACCTTATTGCTCTTAGGACCATACATATAACTCCCAAAGAATATAAATTAAATAAAAAATAACTAAATAGCACTTTCCCTAATATCCTTTGCTGTGGAAAAAGTCATGCAGGCAAAAACAAACCAGAAAGAAGTAGATGTCTAATTTCCTATCATTTATTAACAACTTCACATCCAGTGTTATAATTTATGTCTGGTAGTTATTTTAAAAATGCATAAATATATATAAATATGTTAGTTAGCTAGTAAAATTTGTTTTTTCATATTTTTCCGTTCCTTAAGCCTTTCTACTTTTTCAAATCACTCACAAAAAGAGCAACTTTTGTTCCTCCAACATGTGGAAGAAAGATTGGGACTGGATCCATGAGTACCATTGCCAAGACAGAGATAATTTTTGACTTAGCAGTGATTGCAAACCACATCAGTCTAAAGCTAGTCTTTTGCATAACAACAGACCCCCCACCCCCACCCCAATTAAAAATTAGTTTAAGAAATGAAATACCTTTTGGCACTCCACAATAAAAACATCCACGCACTGTCCATAACTCTGTAATATAATGCAATATAAAATACATGTAAATTTAAGTCCCTCAGTAAAGAAACAGCAATACATTTGCTTCTAATTGTCATTTATTGTATAAACTTAACATTAAATATTAACTGAGCAAACCTTAAAATGTTGTAGAAGGTTTGTTATCTTTCGCATCTGTCGTCTGTCCCCAGCTTGCTGACCCAATCTAAATTCTTCAATTAGTTCTTTTTCAACAGCATCATATTTTTCTTAAATGCAAAAAAGAGATATATGTGTAGCAATTTGTTTTCAAAAATTTTGAGAATGGCACATGATATAATGACATTTTGAAGAAAAATTTAATTGATTTGAGATTTAAAATAAATATAATTTAATTATTTATAAATTAGAATTCTTAGGGCATTTATTCTCATTGTTTTGGACTAAAATGTCCACTGTTTAGACTAAGTTTAAAAATTAATTCATTAAAGATATTCTTTCCCTCACCAGCAATCCTTTGCCTTGCAATGTCAAATCTGGAATCATTAAAATAAACAATATTTAGAAAATGTTCTTATAAAATCAAAATACAATTTATGTACCAATATTTTCAAAATAATAGATAATTTCCTAAATGCAATTTTGGAACATTGAATCCAGCTCTATTCATACAAACAATAAATGAGATATACATTAATTTGTATTATAATTTAGTGAAGTGATAAATACTTTTACTCATAACATTTTTATTTGTTGCTCTACAGGGAATAAACTTTTTGAATTTCTCACCTTCCTCCCAATGGCAGTTCCAACGCAATTAAATGGAGTTTTTGTATAACATCAGCAGTGAGATGAAGCTAGAGCAGATGTACAAAAATATTTTAATAATTATAAATAAATTTATAGAATAATGTAACTGAGATTAACTAGGGGATTCAGTGAAATGTTTCATACAAAATTTCTAAGCATGCAATAAAAATCCTGACTCTTCTACTCAAATGTTTGATAATCTGGAGATGTTAGAAAAGGTTATTAATTGCTGTATTAATTGCTGCTATAAAGCAGATGCATTGTAGTTTTAAAAAATTCAATTAAGTTAAAACATGCTTAATAAATAGTTTTCAAAGATGACCTTACATTGTACCTTAGATGTGCATATGAGTTTATACAAAAAATAAGTCTGTAAAAGATATTTAATTTGACAGTAAGGAAATAGTAAACAGAAGGCTGGCCAAAATACAAAGCATTAACAGTTGATGACATTGATGACCCAAAATAGTTCTCATAAATATGACTGCATCTCCCAAACTACCACAAACAACAGCGAGCATAATGCAGAAAGTACAAACATTTGCCTGAGAAAGATCCTGAACATAAAATGGCCAAACATCATCAACAACAAGGTTTTACTGAAGAGGACATACCAAGAGCCTATTGCTGAAGACATTACAAGGAAAAGAAATACCCCCCACCCCTCCCCCACCCCTCCCCCACCCCCGGAAAACATTACCTGACAATTCTTATCATGGATAACATGGGGAAAAAGGAAGTAAGGCCAAAATATACATGGAGATGCAAGCTAGAGGCATCTACAATAAATATGGAATCAACAGGAAAGGAAAGCACATGACAGAGATGACTGGAAAGCACTTTAAACAGCCCATGCCCCAGGCAGAGAAAAAGGTATAAGTAAGTAACTGCCAGAGAGATACTGCTTAACAGACTTATGTAAATGCATTATTATATGAATTTTATTTCATTTTCAATAAACTCAGTATTTTGAATCAAACCTGCAACTGCGTGCTACTGCCTTCCTTGCCTTTAGAAAATAAATTTTCATCTGTCATATTTTCAATTTTGTTTTCAGTAATCAAAGAGTATCAAATAATCAAAAATGTAATAATTGTAAAACACTGTACTGAGGTCAAAACTGCATTCTTTGCTTCTTTATCACAATCTACTGACCATTTCTTTTTTTGATAGAGAGACATTTTAAACATTTAACATGCCTGGAAAGGATCAATTAAAACAGGGGATCTCAAAGGTTCTTCTGTAAGGAACTCTCCAAGGTAATGCATAAGTCTCTGAGCCTCAACAGCCCTTGCTCTTGGGGTGTTAACACCTTCCAGCTGATCACCAAGATGAACCACTTTGGTGGCCACATATGAAATTCTTTCATCCAATGTTTGAAAATCAGTGTACAAGGACTGAAAATAAAACCAAATAAGAATATACATATGCATTTTAGAACCAACAGTAATTTAAAGAAAGCTAAAATAGTTCATCAGTAAAAATGATTTTGTCTTGCTATTTTAGCTGGATTCAATTCATTCCCAACTTAATTTCTACAATTTCATAACATACTGAGAATATAAGAATTATTTTGAAACATTTACATCACTTTAAGTCAAACCAATTTTTTTAACTTGCTAATACATGACAATGTTTTTAAAAATGTAACTAAATACATGCACAGAAATGTTACTGAATTAAAACTACCTGATTTTTCTTTTGTAATTCAGCTACACGGTTCCAGTGACGTTTTTCCTCATCTTTACACTCTGACTCTAATCTATTAATTTTATTCTGAACCTGCAAATGAATAATTTAATGAATTTAACTGTTATGTATACATATTTTTTGAAAACGTAGGATAGTCTATGAAGTTAAATTTCACTGTAAATATATTTGCATTGTCCATGTTATAATAACGTGGTGATTAATTTCAGTTTTACTTGCTAGGCCAGGCAAATTGCCAAAAAAATAAAACAACAACAAGGGGGGGAGGCGGGGGGGGTTTATTTTAGATCACCTGCCCTGGGCGCTATCTTCAGAGGGTGCCAAAATCATTATTATTCATGAAATATATCTTTATGAATGCATAATTTTGTAGGAAGAGGGCACCTATATTCAGGTTTTGCCTGCCATGGCCCTACTTTCTAATTAAGGTTGAATAGTTAAGATAAGTGTGAAGTAATTTCAAATGACCTGATTGTTTTTGTCTTTTAGGTCATGTATCATCTTTTCAAATGCTTTATGCAGTATTTCAGGATCAAATTCTTCTGGACTGCTTCTTGCTGTGGCACCCATCGTTTTCCATGCTAATCGCTCCACAAACTCATGAACGCTAAAAGGTTCCTAAAAAATAGATTCATCTTCAAAAACACAATAGCAACAATAACAGCAGTATAATGCTCAATGAACAGATAAATAATGGTATGATTCATTTATAATTCAATATTCCCCAAACTGTTTTTTATTAAATCCCTTTGAAACTATCAGAACTTTTTTAGCTTTGGTAGGTTTTTCTTGAATTTTTTTAAATCTTTAGGGGAACAGATATAGCAGGAGCTGGGCGAAATAAGATACATAGGGAAGACCAAATTAGGCAGTAGTTAGGCAGTAGTTAGGCAGTAGTTAGGCAGTAGTTAGGCAGTAGTTAGGCAGTAGTTAGGCAGTAGTTAGGCAGTTCGCAGATAACCACCCTGTCATGGAAAAATAAAAATGTAAGGATGCTAAAGGACTTCAAACCATACCTGGGCAAGGAAACGATTTTTGGATTTTGACACGGAATCGTAAGTATTGTTACGTACCATTATACAGTTTAACAAATTTAATCTGTTTTAAGATTTGGCTAGTTAAATGAAAAATATGTAACAAAGAACTGAAAACCAGTATACAAAGAAAACTATGCCAAAGCTAGTTATACTAACAATAATCAATTTAATTATACTAACAAGATGATTTAAATTATAAAATCAAATATACAGAAATAGAAATTATATTAACTTACATCACAGCAAGTGAAAAAGTATAATACTATTACTAGAAAGTTAAAAATATTAATCCACACACACATAGAAAAAAGTTGTAAGGTCTCTTGTCTTATATCTCTGGTTAATCTCATAAAAAGTCTGCCGGTCACAGTCAATCATCATATCTATAGGGAGGGAATCAGAACCCTCCAGAACAGAAAGTCTAGAAAATCAATCCCCAGAGAGTATTCCTTTCTCTTTGTAGGCCCTTCTGACAATGTTCCCTTTACGCTGCGCGGCTATCTCACATATGCCGCGCAGCAAATTTCCATGTAAGTGTGTGTTTGTGTTTGTGGGCTGTAAAATGTTGCACACAAAAAAAATTGATGCTGAAAAGCTTTGCACACAACTGTATGATTTTGCCCACGAACAAGCAAACCTTAGAGGGAACATTGCCTTCTGGAAACGTAAACAAACTTTCCCAATCAAGGGATGTGGGGGGAAAGGAATGGCAGCAAGTGTCACCAAGTTGACTTGTGACATCAGTCACAAAAACAATGGGGGAGGTAAGGGTTGCATGTCACAGCTCAAACTAGGTCAACACACAGGCTTTAACAGTATCCACAGAGCAGGAGCACTTGCCTGTCTCATGGTTGAAATGACACGGTATATAATCACCATAACTGTCTTATAAGAGATTCAAATAATTTGAGAAAGGAGAACACGATACCTTACAGTGGCAAAATTATTGGATTTAAGCTATGATTGAAAAAATATACATCATTCAAAGAAGGGGAAAACTGTTTAATCTTATGCTAATATGTGGCCATGCTAAACCCAAAGATGCAGCTTATGATTTTAAGTTTTAAGAACATTTTCTCTGTGACATCAGAAAGGATATATGCTAAGCAGAGACGTGCTTAGGACATATTGCACCCACAGCCAGAACTAACATTGGGAACTATCAGGTTTGAGAACCAATTTTTACATAATTCAGATTTAGATAATAAATTCTAATCAAGGTACACAAAGATACTGGTAGAGATAATATTTTTATTCTTATGAGCAAAAAAAAAATATTTTTTTTTTAAAATTTAGAAATTCTTTGTCCAGCTCTACCATTTTGTTCCCACGTTCAAGTGGCACCAACTGCATTTTTCATATCTTGCCCCACCCTGGATATGTCTCTGATGATAAGGTCAAACCTATTACACAACCTATTACAAAAAAATAGTCTTGTCTTGCCACACACTGGATATGACTCTGATGATAAGGTCCAACCTATTACACAACCTATTACACAACCTATTACACAACCTATTACACAACCTATTACACAACCTATTACACAACCTATTACACAACCTATTACACAACCTATTACACAACCTATTACACAACCTATTACACAATCTATTACACAAAAATAGTTTTGTCTTGCCACACCCTGGATATGACTCTGATGATAAGGTCCAACCTATTACACAACCTATTACACAACCTATTACACAACCTATTATACAACCTATTACACAAAAATAGTCCATAGACATCTGCATACGGACCATTTATTGAAAAGGAAAGTCTGCCTGAGAAAACCAATAATAATGGAGGCTAACTATTAAACTACGCAACAGGAAGGGGAACGACTATCACCTGTGAAAATTTCGCAAACGACTACATAAAGTGACATGGATATCACAAGATGGAGCAATCTGAACCCAACTAGAACATATGTTTATATGATAAGAGACATGACACAGACATATTTAAATGTACAGAGTTTTAGAGGAATATGTATCATACCAAATAAACAAAGACAATATAAACAAAAGTTAGCAACAAAAACAATTGCAGAAGTTTACTAACAGAAAAGGGCAAATCCAACTAAAGATTTAAGATGAAAAGCAGTCAACCATAACAGCAATCTAAATCAGTGGCTATGAAAGTGGTTGGTATGCCAGGATGGCCTTATAATTCTCATTAGATCAAAAAGGGGAGTGGTCTAGGTCAAACCAGGAATTGAAACCAAATGGGATTTTAAAAATTTTCCTGACTGACCTTAATTTCACTAGCAGATATAAAAATAATGTAACCATCAGACTTGTACAGGTAGCTGGTAAACAGACAAAATGAAAACTTCCCACTCTGACAGTGATGGGTTCATTACATATCCCAGTTAGTAGTTTGTAACACTTGGGAGGCTCATCTGGTATAAACTTGTTGAAACAGACCATATTGTACGATCAACGGTTCACCTAGCACCGAAGCCTGCATCTGGTGACGGTGAAAACAGGTATTCCATTTACCGTGTTTGAGGTACCCCTGCCAGCCACATTGTGTGAAGCCATATTCACCTGGTGGCCATGCCCCATGTGTGAAATGATCCCTCTGGTGGTCGTGTGTGAAATGATCCCTCTGGTGGATGTGTGTAAGAAAGTCCATCGTGCTGTCAAGTTCGAGATGACCCAACTGTATTTAGTGGCCATTTGTGAAACAAACCCTCCAGCGGCTGTGTGGGAAACAATCCATTGTGTGGCCGACATGACCTATCTGTACATGGCGGTGATGTGTGAAATGATCCCTACGTTGGCCGTGTGTGACACCGTAAGAGGTCCACAAGATCAAAACTTAAGCTACTTACTTTATTTGTGTTTTTATAGTTAGAAAAGATGTATTTATATATATATTTTTTTTTTATTTATTGTGTTGTATTGATTACATTTAAGTTTATTAATTTAGCCTTATTTCTGTACCTTACCCTGGTTATCAAATTTATATTTATTAAAATATTGAAACCATCATTCCCAAATTAAAATTGATCTGAGAGCTGAAGAAAGAGGTAGAAGACCTGGGTTATAAAACAAAGCTCTTATTAGGTGGGTCGAAGGCAATCTGAATGAAAGGGATATGCTAGAACGTCAGGAGAGGGGTAAAGAATGAGATAGGCTAGAACTGGAGGAGAGGGGTAAAGAACGAGATTAACAATGGGCCAGAGAGGATAAAGATTTAGAAAAGATGGGTTGTAGACAAGCTGGGAATGGGATACATATAATTATACTCGAAAAATATTTTGATGATCCACATATGATGATAGTCAAAGGCAGATAAAGCGAGTGCTCCATGTTTAGGGTGGGTTAAGGGTCATGTCTGTTCATAGGTCATGGAGAAGGCTATCTTGGGAAAATATTTTAAATTTACACAACATCATTAAGGAAGCTGACAGGAGGGATATACCACTCAGTAAAATAAATGTACCTGGGGAAAAATAATGGCTGCAAACAATTGCTGTGTTTTTTTTTTTTTTAAATATCAATATTGTGTTATTTAATAATATTAATATATAAATTATAAGCTTGTATGTCATTTTTAGTTTTGAGTTAATTTTATTTATCAAGGGTATAAGATTCTCTCTCAGTAACAAAGTTATGAAATTCTATTGTATTCTTTTTAGGGAATAATCAGTTTTAATTATAATCCTTTACATTAAATGCATCATGATTTAATTTGTCTCAGGGCGTGGCACTCTCTAGAGTTGTGTAAAGACACTATACTTTAGTGCTTGAGATGAGTAGTGTAACTAGTCAAATCCTTATGCTGGAGGCTTCATGTATGATGTCCTGGTGATGGGTTCATCAGAATTTTGTTAACTAAGCATGTTCTTTAAGACATAGCAGTGTTTAGATGATATTGTTTTGAAAAGGAAAGGGGGGGGGGGGGGTGTTTACAGACAATTTTATGTGTTAAAATATTCATGTGTAGTTACCAATTTTTCACAAATCACTAAAATTGTGTGTTTTTGTTTGTCTTTGATGCCTATGTTATTATGTTCATTGTTTCATTATAAGTAAAGTACTTGCTAAAGCGGATGTATACAATTTTACTGTGAGTTACTTTTTGAAGTGATGTCAAAGGAATTGGGGGAGGATGTCAATGATTTGTTCATGTTTTGTGGGTGCATGTTTTGGTGTGGAGATTATTTGTGTAGCTGTTACTATGTGTTTTGTGTATAGGAGATGACTTGTTGGTTGTTATGATTTATTGTTAGTAAAAAGGTCTCTGAGAGAAAGCATATGAAAGAAGACACAATTCTTTTCAATAAAAAACCATATGAAATAATTGTCATGGATTTGTTTAATAATTACCCCTAAATGTAACTAAGCTACTGAACTGCTTATCCAATTTAGTAGTGCATAATATTTACATTTACAACATACCTTGATAGCACTATTTCCAACAATGGCAATAAAGACATTAAAAAAGAATTAAAACATTGGGTAGTCTGTGTTAATCAAAGTGCCATTTACAATATCCAAAATTAGAGAATGAAAAAGATCATATCTCAAACAATGACACATAAGTTGAATAGAGGCAATATTAATAAAAAAAAAAAATTAAAAAATGGGCATCTGCTGCAGCAATTAAATAATGAAAAAATTAAAAGAAGGAACAGAACACATAGCTTGTAAACAAAATTTGCTATACTGTAGACAATGCCTGTAATTTTCAAAGCCCATCCTACACTTGCCTAACCCAAACCACTCTGTCATCAGGATGCATCAACAGAAAAAAGAGGAAGTAAGATTGGAGAGAAAGACATCTCTTACTTGTACTTGTAGGGAAATATTCCCAAGTGGATCAGTGGGATGAATTGAGCCCCATGTAAAATTGGGGTACAGAGGTTGTTTTTTTTTAAAATGCACATGCCCAGTGAGTTTATAATATATGAATTTGATACTTCCTATTTCTACCCAACCCTTTCCCTGACAACAAGCAATTATCATCAGATTATTACTGGATATAAAAAAAAAATTAAATATTGAAAAATTATCAAATAAATATCTATAATTTAGCAAAACATCTGCAACTGAGATTACGCAAATAAGGCGAGCGATCGAAAGTCTTGCCAAAAATCTGACGGATATGTTAAAAGTAGTTATGTTAATCCTGAATCAGGTTTAGGCTTGAGAGAGGAAGTATTGCACTCTACCCATAAAGCATTATTCTAATGGTGCTTCTCACCATTCCAAATACCAGCCAAATATTTAATCATTGGAATACTGCTAGTGCTTGCATGGAACTGTCAGACATTCACATATTCAGATATTTGAAAAGGGGGAAGGTGAAAAAAAAAAAAAGGGGGGGGGGGGGGTTAAACTACGGTAAAAGTGGAGTTCAGGTGCGTATATTATTTCTGTTTGAATTTCGTATTTTTTATGTTAATTCTTTATAAAAATTATTTTAAAAGAAAAATACCATCTTTTTATTGGAACACAACAACAATTTAACAAATTTTACGAGATAAAATAAGGACATTTTCATGAATCTTTTGTCTTTTATGGAGCCATTGTGGTAAATCAAGGATAACTCTTCTGTCTTTGAAGATACGTTATAAAAGTTGCCAAATTGGATGAATCTTGGTTAAAATAAATGTTGTATTTATTTTATAACTTTATAATCAAATATAACCGGAGTTGCCCGGGTTTGCATTCAGAAAAAAACATCTTCTACTTCCTTTTAATTCACATTGCTATTAAACGAAATTTTAACAACAAAACAACACCACTATATTAAAAAAAAAAATAATCAATTTGTCTCCTATAAAAACACTTAAAATAACTTATGTAAACCTTTCGTTTTTCCCGTTTTCCGATGGCACACCGTGGTCCGGAAGGATCATGATGGGATCCTGATTCCGGTAAAATTCTGGTCATGGTGGTATCCCGATCCCGGTAGAATCTCAGTCATGGTGGATCCCGATCCTGGTAGAATCCCGGCCATGGTGGGATCCCGATCCTGGTAAGATCACTTTACCGGTGAGATCCCGTTGCCGGTGGTATCCCAATCCAAATGAGATCCCAATCCGGTGAGATCTCGATAGGATCTCGAACCCGGTGAAATCCCAATTCTGGTGGGATACCGATTCAGATGAGATCCCATATTTGGTAAGATCCTGATAGTATCTCAAGCCCGATGAGATCCCGATCCCAGTGGGATCCTGTTTCCGGTGAGATTTTGATCCCGATAGGATCTTGATCCCAGTGAGATCCTGATCCCGGTGGGATACCGGTGCCAGTGAGATCCAGATCCCGGTAGTTATAGGGAACTCTCATACTTGACATACGTAGCCAGTTTACAAGCCACATAGCAATGGTTATGAGCGCCTGCAAGCAATTCCATAGTTGTTTTAACGTTTTTTGTTGCCTCACAAAATTGCGTATAAACCAAATGCTGCACCATTTAAAATTTCCGTTGGATCAACAATTTCAATTATTGTCTCTTGGCCGTCCTGCCATCTTGAACAAAATGATCCCACCACCAGCAATACCGCAAAACGAGTCCGTCTTATTCTATATAATCACTAGCCCTCACCCTCATTTAACTCAGCGCAAATCAGTCACCATTAATAAGCGCATTTGCATATGAAGAAAGGGGAGGGGTGCTCAAATTAGAGCTGACCAATCACAGACAACATATTTGCAGCCATCAGTATGAGATGACTATCAATAAATGATCCGAGTTCCCCCATTCCCTGCAACGTCACAAATATTTTTTTTTAAAGTGGACACGTGATCACACATTGGCACATATTCTTGGAACACCCGCCCCCCCTTTTTTTTTCCAGCTTCACTCCAGGACAATGAGGACTGTGTGTCCCCTACCTTAGTGATCCACTTCTAATTCCACCCCCCCCCCCCCCCCCTTTAAAATGACAACACGTATTTTCCAAGCCCCCTGAGAGGAAAAAAACAAAAAGGGGGGGGGGAAATCCCCTACCTTAGTGATCCACTTCTAATTCCCCCCCCCCCCCCCCGACTTTAAAATGACAACACGTATATTCCAAGCGCTCTGAGAGGAAAAAAACGAAAAGGGGGTGGGGAAATGGGGGGAGGGGGGGCGCTCCTGTGTAATGAAAAATTTAAATTTAATTATTTTTTGTGAACATGCCTACAGTTTGAAAATTTCGTTTATCATACTAACGTATAGGTGGTTAAAAATCTGGTCATAGGCCGAAAACAAAAAATTCAAAACAAATGGGGCTATGTTGCTTTGGTTGGGGCTGGGGGATGTTTAAAGACTCTTTAGAAATCAAATAAAAAGGGCCATTTAAAATTCAGTATTAGTTAACTATAACTGCCTGTATTTAATTAATAAAGAATACACGTAAGTTTACATGATAAAATATGAAATGCGTTAAGAAATAATATAGGCACCTGAACTCCACTTTTACCAAAACTACTAATACTAATATCAACTAATACCAACAGTATATTATATAGTAATAATAATAGTAAGATATTTTATTACTTTTTATTTTTACTAAAAGGCCTAAGCCGACAAAGACTAAGTAAGGCCCAACGACTTAATAGTTTTTCTCGTAAACTTAAAATTTTAAAAGAAAAGTTACCTGCTCCAATTCTTCCACGGACATGATTTTGAAGAAAAGAATTATACGTGTCTAGATATTGTGAAGCACTCCATACGAGTCTTTATTAAATTTTAATGGTTTAATTTTTTGTATTATTAAGGTCTCAGTATTGCCTTTCTGGTATTATTTAAATTGAAAACCTGTTACTTTGTTGATACAGACATATTAAATGATAACGAAAGGAGGAAGTGGGTTGCAGCAATAAAAAAAAATTGTATATATAAATAACTATCAATGCGGCATACGCATCCATTTTATCCATTTAAACTAGGTGTACGAGAGTAACGCCTGGACGTCTCTAACAATGGTCCCCAACCATTTTGGCACCAGGGACTAGTTTTGTGGTATACAGCTTTTCCACGGGACGGAGGGTGTGTTGTTTTGGGTTTTATTTCAGTGCAAAAAAATGCACGCTCTGTGTCAACGTGTGATCCAGTTCCCAGTGGCGTAGCTACGGTTGGTGTCACCGGTGCGGTAAACTCGTGGTGTCACGCCCCTCCCTCCCGACATCCACGATGGATTTCTACGTGTTAAAATAAGTCCACAGTATTAAAATGACATGAAAAATAACAAATTAAATAAAAGGTCAGGAGGAAGTTGTACTCCCCTACACTACCAATACAAACTGCACGGCCATATTCTTGAGCAAGTTTCCTCCGAAAGTACCTGGGTGTTACCATTCAAAGAGAGGTCCGATGGGATGAACATATTAACAATGTATGTAACCAAGCAAACAAGACCCTAGGGTTCTTAAGGCGAAATCTAAAGATTGGCAACTCCTGTGTGAAAGAAAGAGCATATAAAGCCTTTATCCGTCCGATTTTAGATTATGCATCTTCAGTCTGGGACCCATTTACCCAGAAGAGCATTGACAGGTTGGAGGCGGTCCAGCGACGAGCAGCACGCTTTGTCCTAAACCGCTACAGGAATACCTCAAGTGTTGGCAGCATGCTAGAAACACTAGGCTGGTCACCATTGGAGAAACGACGACGACAATCCAGGCTCTCCATGATGTACAAGATAAATAATGGGCTGGTCCACTGTTCCAGTATTAAACAGAAACTCGTACCTCTCCCCCATAGACAGCGACGAGGCCATGACAGGCAATTCAGGCTCATACCAGCAAGAAGCCAGTATAGGAGCTGCTCATTCCTGCCCAAGACAATCAGGGACTGGAACAATCTTTCAAAAGGAACGGTTGAGGCGACAACACTAGACACATTTGTGTCTATTGCCTCAAGCCTTCAAACCCCCAGTGCATGATTCCCTCACAAAGTGGCACTGGAAATCTGTGAAATTTCCTCATCAACACCAGGAACAGAAACATTGCAAATCCCATCTACATGCATAGGAGCCAAAATGATCAATAAATTGATCGTGGGCCCTTAAGATATAGAAGAAGAAGAAGGTAAATGTATTTAAGAACTGTAACAACGTTAAGTTATGGTTATTTTTATATTAAATGTACTTTATTTAAAATTTTCCTTTCCTGGTCTTCAAGAAGCAAACCTGTCAATCACTTGCTCAAAATCAAAACCATTCCTGTATCACTTTCAATTAACAGTAAAGCCAAATCAGAAAGCCTTGACTGCCTCATGGTGGATCGTAAATAGTTTTTTGATAAGCCTTAGTTTTGAAAAGATCCGCTCACATGAAGCCACAGACACACAGATCGTATGAAACAATTGAACGCTTAGCAAGAGTGTTGTATTGGACAAAATTCTAGGAAGTCCCATTCAGCTATAAATTTCAAAACATCAAATACTGACCAGTCCACAACTTTGTGAAATCGAATATCAGCTCCCTTTAGGTGACTTCTGGACCTTGATATTTTTTTTAAAGTTCATCTTCTGATAACTCATCATAGAAAGAGGTTAATTTTGGAACGGACACCCAAATATATCTGCTACTTCCTTGATCGCTGATAATCTGATCTTGAGTTCAGAATGAAAGCAATCAAGACACTCCAGAATCCCCCTTTTCTTCTTGCAGAGTGAATCCAGCGTCTATTACTTGTTATCCTGCTCATCTCTTCTTAAACCTTAATCTTCTCTCTACCAAAATTCCATATTAGTTTATTTTTAAAAGTTCCATTTCAATAATACGTTCCACTAAGTGACAGCGCTTCTCGTGCAGAAACAATCTTAAAGCCTCTATGTTGGTCACCCAATTGTCAAAAGTAAAGCCTTTAGTCTGCAGATAATGCTGTGAAAGATTGACTTCATCAAGGAAAATGTAGCAGATAATCGTGTAATTATAGACAGCATGTAAAAGATCTTGTGCTGCACCTCTTGTATCCAAATTTTAAAGAGTAAAACATAGAGCTTCAATCGCTATCACACATTAATCAAACTTATCTTTCACTGTTTTAACAGCATGATGAGCACTCCAACGTGTTTTTGACAGTCTTTTCATAGACATTCCAGTGTGTTCAATAAAAATCTCCTAGCGATGGGTGGATGCAGCAAAGAAGGGAAATATTCTATCAAGAGTACCGAAAAATTTATTACATTTTCGGCAAAAGAGTGTTGACTGTGTTGACCACACAAGTTAAGCGAATGGTCTACACATCCATTAAAATTCGCTTTCTTAATATTTCTTTTAAGAATTGTCTGAACACCTCCATGGATTTCAGACATTGTGACAGCGTTATCGTAACCTTGAGCTCTGCACATCATGTCAGAACTGAGGTCATCATCTTTTTTCCCCTTAAAGGGAAAAATCCAAAAACACAAGAAGTCTTCTTTCACTGAATTTGTCCATTATGGATTTTCACATATCTGATCACTTCAGACATCTGATCAGTGTGTGATATATCAGGTGTAGTGTGGAACATAATCCCAAAATACATCGCAGCCTTTATATCCACGATAAGAATCTCCTTCACATGATTTAAAGGACATTTATCAATTCATTTTTGCTTTTCTGGTGAAAGGTAAGATGCGGAAGCTTTAACTGTAGATGTACTTTTCTTAAGTCTCACTAGGTGCTTGCTCTTTTAGCACTGGGTCATGTGTACATAGCATCTCAGCCATTTCAAGACAGTTTCCTCTATTCAATGAAGATTCATCTTTGTTGTGGCCACGAAATACCAGATTTTTCTTTGCAAGAAATGGTGTGATATCCATCCAATTGTTATTCACTTGTCCATCACAGCAATAGTTTTGGCATCAATTGTTTTGTGTAGGTGCTTTTCC